TATTTAAAAAGTTTTTTTACTGGTCTTTCTATTTACTGGTCTTATTTATACCCTTCAGTGAAGTTTTCTAAAAAGATCTGCATGGTTTTTATTTTAATACTTAGGTATATTCTTACCAGATGCCCCCCCACATAAAGGGTCTAATTGGCTGTTGTTGACATGGAGGAATGACACTGATCTTTATATGTGGATTTTGTTTTACTGAAATACGAAGATAGAAAATGCACAAATGTGTGGGTAGTGTAATTATCACAAAATGAATGTATTTGGGTCCCCTACCCTCATCCAGATGTACCATTTGCAGCATCCCAGAAATCCTCTTTCTCCCTCTTCCTGTGCCCAGAAATAACCACTATCTTGACTTCAAATTTGGTGAAATAATTTTGCCTGTTTATGAATGTAAATAAACTGCAGTACATACTCATTGTCTTTGCCTTTATTTGCTCAACAAAATATTTGTTCCATATGTGATAGTCCACTATTTGATTATCACAGAGATCATAATTGGGATTGTTTCTGGTTTAGGGCCATTGTAAGCAGGGCAGTTACTGTCTTTCTTAATATCTTTTGTTACACAGATTTTGGATATGCATCGAGGAGTAGAATTGCTTGGTCATCTTATATATGCAGCTTTAGTAGACTCTGCCATGAAGTTCTGAAAACAGGACTAATCACTAGGGCACAGTTATTAATGAACCTTTATTAAAACAGTACAAAAAGTAATTTCTGCAAATTGATCATTACACTGTGGTTTCTAAACAAGGAAACCAGGATCTCAAGTAAAAGAGACAATCTTCTTGGCTAAATAATTCATTTCACTTTTCTTGTCTTCATACTAGAAGTCTAAAGGTTAGTGCCTTAGGCTGAATCAATGCCTTAAAAAGACACAGAAAAGTGAATATATAAATGGGAAATCCACTGATTAAAGTGATGGAAGAGATGTTACCACCACACGTTTTTTGTTTTTTGTTTTGTTTTTCTGTTTTTAACTCTCAGCTTTGGTGTTTTTCAGAGAGAAAGCCTTATTTTGTGGCTAAAGATAGACCCCAGAAACTTGGGGCTCAGATGGTCCTTAGCAGCATAGAGAATGCTTTCTTTCCTGTTACCTATCTGAGCTCCTCCCTTAAAGCATTGTCTGGCTCATCTGTATCCAGAGAGATGGTGTTTTTTGACTGGTTAGATCTAGGTCCCCAGGGTGGGGAAGGGCAGTGAGAGGGGCCTGTCAAACCCTTCTGAACCTTAGGGTTTAAATGAGAGGTGGGGTTGGAGCTCAGTGCAGAATGCATATTGGACCCGTGAAAGGCTCCAAAAAAAAACCAAAAAAATTATCAGAGAGTGTGGGTGGGTGGTTCCCAAAGGGATAAGAGGGCAAAAAAAAAAAAAAAACCCAAAAAACAACCAAACAAATATAGGTCTATTACTATTAGACTGTAAGAGGAATAGTAACAAGTCATTATATATATATTTAATTTGTTTTATATTTTTCAGATCATTGCAAATCATCATATGCAATCAATTTCATTTGCTTCTGGAGGGGACCCTGTAAGTATGCATGTATAAAAGTTCTTTTTTTATAATAATTGAAAGAATGAGTTTAATAGCACTTGGATTAGTAGGTGAATTAACAGCATTGCATTGTGTCGTTAGCCATGGTGCTGTCACTTGCTAAGCTTCTTACTGATAACAAACATCCACGTCATGAGTAGCAAGTGTTGCCAGTCCTCAGAATTCTTCCCAGCACACAGTTCCGTGTAGACTCTACTAATTAATCGGACTTGGTATATAAGGGGAAGCCAATTTGCCACCCAGCCATGGCAGCTACGGCGACTCAGCTTAATCGAGAATGAGCAGCTGAGTGTGTAGAAGCCCACAGAGGGGCCATCGGCTGTGGAGAGAGAACTTCAGTTCCTCTCTACCAAGAGGCCGTACGGTGCTCATTGCCACACATTGTGCAGGACTCCGTTTCCCACCCTGCAAACTGGATGTCATCCCTTGACTCTGTCCTTCATTGTCTCTGCACTAGAGGGATTGTTTCAGAGAGGGGCATTCAAGCTGGGGAGCCTGTGTCTGAACAAAAAACAAATGTTTCCACTGAGGGAGTGGAAGGACAGTTTTTCTCTTCTGCAACACTAGGAGCCATTTTGTGTCTGTAAACACGCGGAAGGCTAGAAGAGGGCAGAGTGACTTTTACGATGTTAGAACGTTAGTGATACCAGAAAACATTAGAGAAGGTGTGTAGACTTGTTTTATACAGAATGTATCATCTTCTTTTCTGCAAAAAATTATTCACCACTATATCCTTCAGGAATGAGCCATAACATCCAGTCTAATAGGTGATTTTTCTTTCCATTATATTCAGTTTCTTACTTATTATTGGTGAGTAAAATTTAGAGTCACAAATGATGAGACATGTGACAGAGAAACCTAAAACATGTATGAAGGGTGGGAAAAACCTCAGTCTTCCATCTGATATCACTAGAATGTTTTCACGTATTGTGAACTATATGCAAAATATTTAAAATGAAGAATAACTAGGTCCCAGAAGAAAATAAGACTTCTGAAGTTATTCTGGGTGATCATTGCTTCATCACTGGCTTCTAAACAAGTTGAACAAATCCCTTCACTTGCACATGGATGAAACTTTGTGTGTAAATTGTATAGCTGAGTGCTATTTAAACTAGACCATCGTTAGAAACGCTTCAAAAATGACTTGTCTTCACGTTGGCTACCAAGTCACTCAAAGTATTTAGGCATTCAGCCCTGGACAGCCTACCTTCAGGACTTCTTTGAAACATATGAGAAAATGCCTTTACAAGATTTCAAGGGGCTGGGGATTTAGCTCAGTGGCACTGTGCCTGCCTTGCAAGAGCAGGGCCCTGGGTTTGGTCCCCGGTACCCCCCAAAGATTTCAAGTTATTGTTTTTATTTATTTGTTTGTTCTTATGGGGTACTGCGCTTTCTCTAAGCTTCACGGCTTCCTCACCTCTCTGCCTTGCACGTAGTTATTTTCCAGTGACTATGGTGTTAGTTCCTCAATGCTACCAAATACAAGTAGACCAAATGGTTAACAGCTCTCTTCCCCTGCCTCAGGAGATGGCTCATTGTGGACTGGGTCTGGGCTCTGATCTATCCAGCCTTGCCATCTGGCCTCAACGGTGACACCAAGGGGTGGGTGTTGGGAGGTTTCACTGGGTCCAAGCTGAAAAACATCGTTTTTTTCTCCTCCTAAGCCATTAGAGCTTAGGAACTAGCTAACTTGAAGGGACTCAAGATACTTTTCTCAGAGACTTCAAGTAATGCACTGGAAGTGTAGCTTGATAAATGCTTACCTGTGTTTGCATTGAAGTTTCCAAGGCTGCTGTCATTTTAGAGTTGATACCTAAACCCTGACCTTCTCTAAGCACTCTCTGCGTGGTTTATGGCATTGTCCTCCAGAACCCTAAGGCTTTTCATGCTGTCTTCCTGTGCCTTTAGGGTTTTAGTTCTTCATCCAGGGTTTTAGTTCCCTACCGGGAACAAATAGTGAACACTGAACAAATAGTAGCCACTGTGGAAAAATGTGTATCTGCCAAGTTGAATGGAACCTCTGGGTTCTCTGTGCTGGAGAGAAGGCCTGTTGATTGACATTAAAATAGTCGTCTGGATCCACTGCAAGCCTTGGCATCAGACCCACCCCCCCCATGCGCGCACTGTGGAGCTTCACCCTCCTGTGCAGAGGCGCTAGAGTGAGGGACACCCCACTCACTGCACTCTGAGGTTCAGCGTCTTCGTCTGCAGGAGGGTTCCTATCTCCCGACAGGGTTGCGAGGATCAGTGAGACCGTGTGTGTGAAGCACTAGCCCAGGGCCTCGCAGAGAGTCACAGAACTGTTTCCAGCGCGTGCCCATGTTTGCCTAGGACGGGCACTAGGCTGATTTCCAGCCTCACAGCTAACGAGTTGCGAAGGCTAAGAGGCTGGGTTAGTTGTAAGTCCCTGGGGCCCAATGTATCGGCTGCTTTCTGCCAGATTTCCTCCAGAGTTCGTAAGTATTCAACTTTGTTCTTTACCGGTGCCCTATGCTCACCCGCACCTCGACTCTCTTCTCAAAGACAGTTCATTTTCCTTCTGCCAGCCTTGAAGACAACTTGGAAATGCTTCTGCAACTCTAAATACTTTATTTCAAAAATGCAGAATTTTCGAGCATTCAAATATTAAGTACGTTTTCTCATCCTTTTGACTACTATTTCTGCTTTCCTTTTAAGCATCCTCTAAATTCTCCCAGTCACAGAACTTTAAAACTGTTAAAATGGTGGAGACCGTGTTGAAGATGAGACTGAGGCCCACAGGGCCCGCAGCCTCTTCCTGGCCGTCCCCGGCCCAGCTCCGCTTCTCACTCAGGCTCCGCTTCCTCTACCTTGGGGTGGTGAAGCTGGCAGCGACTATAGCCTTGCTTCCAAGTTCATATCTTTATTGACTCAGAAGAGCCCCACGTTTCTTTTCGTGTGAGAAATTTGCTCACGTGTGTGTTATTTTTAAAAAGGACCTGAGAAGTGCTGCCTCACCTGGATCTGCTTCCTGGGTGACTCACTGGGTTACGGAGTGCTCAGCCTTGAGGGCCTGACAAACTGAGCCCCTGTTTCCTGCCAGTTGATTGCTTCTTCCCTCTGGAGAGTCTTAACTTCCATTCTCCAAATGGCATTGTGTTTTTTTTTCTGAGAACTGAGATAACAAAAAGCATCTTGAATTATTAAAACCTATCATTCATCAGCTTACTGTTTTCAGTCAAAGCTGAAATTACCAAGGGGCTCCTGTTGGGTTTAACAAAGTCAGCAGCAGATCTCCTTTGAACTGCTTTTCATAAATCCTCTTTAAAAAAACCCTTTTTTTTTCTCTCCATATCGATCATATAAATACATTCTATTTTACCTTCTTATTCCTTAAGTTACCTACGCCTGCACACATACATGTACATGAATGACCATAAAACCCAACCGGTCTCCTTCAGCTCATTTTCTGTTTGGATAATAAAGATCATAATGCCACATCCTAATTTAAGACACCTTTGTGATTGTGTAGTCCCCAAAACTTCAATTTCCAACGTGAAGAGAGTCATAGTCCCTAGCCACTTAAAAAGAATATGACCTTATATCTGCATTCTCTTTGGTTCCTAATGACAGAGCCTGCTTTTAAGTTTCAGAGGGGACTGAACCCAGGGCCTTGCTGTGCTACACAAGCTCTCTGCCTCTGAGCTGCATCCTCAGCCCCCATTTTCTTGGGTGGTGCAGTGGTACCTTGGTTCACAGACTCCGTTCTCTCCCCAGTTCTGGGCATAAACCAAACTGGAGAAGAACCGACTCAGATTACCCCTTAAGGCCAATGTTAAATCTAACCAGTGACTCTGATTCAATTTGCCTCCAACTCGGTTTGTAGCCAGAAGCGTGGAAAGAATCAGGTTCATAAACTGAGGTGCCCCGGTGCTGCGGATTGAACCCAGGGCTTCACACACTCCCGACAAGTGAATTTACCTCTGGCTATGTCCCAGCCCTGCTTCTTCAGTTTTCATCTTCGGAGTTTTTCCCTAACGGGCAAAGAATGTGGACTCTACAATTCTGTTCAACTGAATAGTACATATTGTGCCTCTTCCTGCAGTGCTTTCCTCTTTAAACAGAAACACTCACAGTTAAGTCCTTGCTTCAGTGTCATGTTCTAAATATGTTCCTGTCTCTCCGTGGTACAGTCCATTTTAAATGTGATCATTTTCCTTTTTTTTTATAGGATACTACAGATTATGTTGCCTACGTAGCTAAAGATCCAGTTAATCAACGAGGTATGGAAAGCAACTTCTAGATTTTTCTTAAGAGCTATTGTATGTCAACTTTTAAAAAATACTAAGCATTTATTTTTAATATGAAGAGTCACGTGTATCACTAGAGTGCTATGTTGCCTCTGAGAGACCTTTGACCGCTGCACCACGGACCTCCTGCTGCAGCAGAATATGGTTTCTCTTTCTGGGAACCTCACATTTTTGTTATTTTATTCACTTGCCCACTTGCTTTTTGCATGTGCCAGTATGTGTGATGTGCCCTTTCTACTAAGCTAAAATCTCAAGTCCAAGCCTATTTCTCTCTCTCTCTCTCACTCTCTTTTTTTTTGGTACCGGGGATCGAACTCAGGACCTTGCGCTTGCAAAGCAGGCGGCAGAACCACTGAGCTAAATCCCCAGCCCCCTAAGCCTGTTTCTTCTACTCACTGTCATTTCCAAGCACTCGTCACGATGCCTAGCGCCTAGGTGATGCACAGAAGCTGCTTTGTCTGTTGAATGAGTGAGTGAATGGAGTTATTGAGTAGATTCTCATCCTGGGACTTAGCCAGGTTGCCTGAGAAACTCATGGCCCGCCATGCTACGGGTCAGGGGCCTGAGGTCTCTCAGGTAATCAGATCTCTGAGCAGACATGGTTGGTACCAGTTCCCATCCCTGTCTCTGGAAAATTCAGACTGCTTTTAGGGAGTGGACTACAGGTCATTCTCGTCCTTAACTAGCCTGTTAGTTGTGACCTCTGCCACCCCAGGGATGGAGTTTGCCCCCACATATCGGTGAACATGGCCTGGGATTTGGAAATTGAAAAAGCCCAAAGTCAAAGAGGTGGAAACACACCTGGCACGCTGGGAAGCACAGGGTAGTGCACACTAAATGGCAGGATGTGTGTATGCGAAGGAAGAAAACAGGTCTGGACGGGAAAGAGCGGTGAGTAGGGACTGAATTGTGCAGGCCATGGGTGGAGAGAGCGGTTGACAAAGCAGAGCTTTAGGACGGTGGATCTGGCAGCAGGGCGCAGAGGGCGGATGCAGGAGGAAACCTGAAGCAGGGAGATCCTCCGAGGCAGAGGGTTGTGGGCGTCAGAAATGAAGTGGGGACCACCAGCTGCCAGCGTGGTGGGTGCTCAGCAGTGCCTGCTGAAGGGACGCAGCCTTAGTAGGCGGAGAGGAGCGAACAGATCAAAGCCACCAAGAAAGGCTCCACTAAAGGCAGGTCACACTAGGCTGAGTAACGAAGAGCGGGCAGCGGTCACAAAGCCAGGAAGGATCCGTGTGTCTGAGCGGAAGTGGGCAGAGAACGTGAAGAGGCAGCACAGTCCCCGGGAAAGCTCCTCTTTGGGACCTGGGCCGTTTGTCAGAGCTGAGCTGCTTGAAGGGGACCCGTGGGGATTTTGAGGACAGAAACAACCATAACAGGGGTCCAGTTTCTCCCTTAGCCACTCCCCACACTGAAGTCGGAAGGACTGGGTTGGAATGATAATCTTGTCACCATTTCCCTCAGCATCAGGCTGATCCTTTCATGTCTGCAAACCTCGACTTCTCCGTCCTGTAAGTGGGAACGAGGTCACCCTGGTGCTGTTGGGCTGAGTAACAGGTGGCACAGAAAGCATCCTTTTCTTTCTTCCTTTATCTCTTCTTTCTTTAAGAAAACAGTCTCTCGGAGTAGACAGATAGTTAGATCCATGGGTCGATTTTCTCGGATTTAAAAGTTTGTTTTCTCCCCATCACCTGTTCCTCCTTTTCCTGTGCCCACGTCCCTGCTCGTTCATCTTGTTACACAAATCCCTGTGCGAAGCTGCATGCTCTTAACACAGGTTTAGCCTCACTACACACAAGACACACAAGTTATCATTAGACGTCACATTCCGCCTCCAAATTTCAAACCCCAGTAAGATGTGGTTTAGAGTAGTGCTTTTTAAACGCTGCTGATTAGAACATAGATTCAAACATTTTGCAGAGCAATTTGACAATTTGGATCCAAGTCTTAAAAATGTAAGCATCTTTTAAGCTGTCAGTTTCAGTTGTGTGGAAGCATTTAGAGTATGCACAAAGATTCAAGCATACACTGTTGTGTGTCGTTTAATGTGATAGCACAAGTGAAGTTAATTCCGTACCCATAAATACAAAGTCATTTCAGTGAAACCGCAGCTTGTATTACTATGCAGCAATAGTAAGACTAGTTTAGAAAAATAAGGAACAGTGTAGGGGAAAACGTTTACAACCCTATTAAGTGCAAAAAGCACTTGGACATGGAGCAGTACCTGTAGCAGGGGCTCTGGGGGAATTCTGGGTGGTAGGTACATGCAGATTCAAGGCTGGAAAACACAGGCCGAATTGTTAATAGTAGTTGTCTGTGGATAGTGAGATTTCATGGAATGTTTATTTCTTTTTAATGCCTCTTTTATTTTCTGAAAGTCTTACAATGAATATTTGTTATATTAAAGAAAAAAGTTGTAAATTCTAAATTCTTGAATAAAAACAGTGACCCTGGAAAGGCGATGTTACCACATGCCCCGGGGAGCTTGGTTCATGGATGCGGGGGTGGCAGGGAGGAGAGGCCCCCAAGGAAGCTTTAAATTAGAGGAAAGCAAAGGAGAGAAAGTGAAAATGAGAATCAAGACTGCAGGTGCAGGCTTGGGAAAGCAGCAGCTTCTTTGCCCTAAGGGTGAGATCGCTAAAGGAGAAATCCTGAAAGAGGAGGAGGAGGAGCAGGGTTTCAGGGAGTGGGAAAAGTCGAAGAGGCCTGGTGCTTTAGTACCTAGAGCGGTCCAGAGGCGGAAAGGAAGAATCCGGACGAACATTCCACAAGGAGGAGAGCGGATTTCTCCGAGAAGCTGTGGGAGTGGTCAGCGCTGGAAAGGGAGGAGGAGCAAAGGCGAGAAAAGGCCGCGGAGCCAGGCGGTTGCAGAGAGGGGCCCTTTGATAGGGTGGAGGGAAGTGGGGGCGGGTGCAGGCCAGCTGCGTGTGTGACCCCGAATCGTCCGCATTTCTTGGTGTTGGATTCACTTTTTGCATTCGTGCCTTGCAAGCAAGGCACCTGTCACTTTTTGCCATCGCGGCTGGGACCCTTCAGCGAAGTCTTTGTTCCACAGAAGGCTTCTTTTGTAGGAAAGGCAAGTTCGCGTGGGGATGTTTGGGGCTCGCTTAGTGACTAACACCACCTCCCCTGTACTCGGCGTAGACGAGGAAACCCACGTTCTCACTTTTGACAAGCATGGGGCAGGTTTTAACATTTTCTCTGAATTTAGTCTGGAGAGGCCCCAGCGCCCCTGAGCGATCTTGTATGGGAGAGCTATAGTTCCGAGTCTCTGAAGACAGCTTAAAAACCCATGGACCCTCGCGAGTGCCTGTTACTGTTACAAGGCACACGCTCCACTGTGCTGGTCACTTTGGTCAGCGGCCTCTCACTACTGCCTCTGCGCTCTCTGAGCCGGCTCTGCTGCCTCCCTGAGGCGCGCGCCTCGTCTCAGTACCTCGGCGCCATCTGCTGGCTGACACGAGAAACTAAGTGTTTGAATTCTATTTCTAACAAAACAAAGAATTGGGTCTATTCAAAACAAGCGAAAGTAGTGAAAAGGACCCTGTTGCCTGTAAGAATAATTCTCATCCTCTCATCTGCAAACGCCCAGCTAGGAAATCAAATGAAAATGAAAAAGACGGAATATGACTCAAGGACACTTTTAAATCTTACTTCGCGTAACATCTGGTTCCCACAGGCAGCTAGCGCTGTTGGTCCGACTGGCTACCCCGCCAGTAAAACAGATCCAGATCTGACTCCAGATAGGGGAGCAAAGCTTGGACTTCTGGCAAAGTTATCAGGTGACTGAAATCAGGCTGTTTTTGTGGGGGATTTAGGGCTTTTTAATATATGTGCTGCTGAAGTGAGCACATATTTGGGGCTTTTTAGATACTTTTCTTTCTTTCTTCTTTTTAGCTGAAGATCAAGGAATTCCTGGCTGAGTTCTTGGAGATACTGGAAAGTCTCATACTGAACAAGGGTGATCAAAATGTGTGGTTTATGTTTAAATTTTAAAAATTTATTACAGTAAAAGACACATTGCATGAATTCCCCTCAAAATCCTCCCCCCTTTACTCGAAACACATTTATCCATCAGTTTTGCCACTCTCTGAAGTGGTTCTGGAAGTCCTCTTCTATGAGTGTCTTTATAAGATGTTATCAGAAAATACAGCGGGTGCAGCCGCCAAGGCCCGTCCAGTGGAAGGACAGGCTCCTAAAAGCACTGGGGTGTGTTCTTGTCCACCTTATTCACCAGATCCAGCGCCGTGTGACTTCTGGGTCTTCTTCAAAGTCCAAATGCCCATGAGAGGTAAACATTTTGAATCAGTTCAGGACATGGAGGCAGCCATGACAGCACAGCTGAAGACACTCAGGAAAAAAGACTCCAGAGCTGCTGCAGAAAGAGGCCAGAATGATGGGATGAGTGTGTTCGAAGGGAGAAGCAGGATTCTGAGGAGGATTCACGGCAGTGTGCCTTTTACTGTAATTAATTGGAACAGTTTTAAATATTCACTAACTTTTCACGTACTACTAAAGATCATTTTCAAAGAGCAGTGTGACTGCCAGTGGCAGCAAAAGCACTGCCCAAGTCTCCCTGCAGGTAGTGAGACAGGGAATCTGCCCAGGGACAGCTGTCTGTCTGATGTCACCTCTTTAAGGGGGGACACAGGCACCACTGCTGTTTTATTGTGTTCTTTCTGTTCAGTCTTCTCAAAAAGCAATATGTCAGTAACAGGGTTGTCCAAAGCAAAGTAGAAAATTACGTTGGTAGAATCAGCCCTTGGGTAGGCAGGACCAAAATATCCAGGAATCAGAATCGGAGAAGTCGAGCACATGGAAACTTTAGAAGTGTGTCAGAAGTGACGGAGGGTGGCTGGCGTGTTTTGTTGATTCGATCTTCCTGTGGGCCCGCACACCTTGTCCTGTTCTTAGAGGGTTGCAGCTGCTGTGATTGGGAAAGTCTGGGGACTCCATAAAGCAAAGGGGACCTCTCTAGTCCTCCAGGTGTTGTCTTGGTGGGTGAAGCCCTGGCCGTGGAGCGACATGTGGTGGGCACAGCTGCAACTGGAACTCAGCTCTGAATCTTTGCACTGACTTTTTTTAAGGTCCACTTTTAAACATCTCATTTCTTTCACTGGAGGTACAGTTTTTTTCTTATTTTTTTATTCATTCTTGAATCTCCTACCTCTCTCACTCAGTATCTCCCTCATCTTTATATCTCAGCATCTTCTTAACCCTAAGAAAAAGTAAAATTACCCAAATTATGTCCATTTTGATGGAATTTCTAGTTTTGGTTTGACTTTTACATGGACTAGTGTGTGAGATTACAACCAAAAGAATTCAAGTGAATAAACTTTTCATGCAAGGTAACAGGACTCCTTTTGCTTCAGTTAGAGAATTCATCTCCAAGTACCCTTTGTAAGTCTCTGTGTATGAGGCCAGTGCACGTCCCTCCCAAGAGTACTGAGACATAAATCCTTTAAATAAAGGTCACCTTAATTCTTAAATAAGAACATCTGAGATTCCTTGAGATGGTTAACAACATAAGCCTGTGAAACATGGCCACAGGTTCCACTACAGCCTCTTCTTTACCAGCCCACCGATCCTGTCAGATGGGAATGGGTCACCTTTTCCTTAAATGAATGTTATCCTTTCTAAGACAATGCAAAGCACACAATCATGCTTCCACCTTAACACCATTAAACCATTTCACCAAGGTAGCAAGCTCGCCTCTCCTTGAATTTTTTACCAGTGTTCATTTTGAAATTCCAAGACCCAACATGCTTTCTCTAGCATTTAATGCCCTATGCACTCCTTTAGGCCCATCACCTTTTTTCTCTTCTGTATTCTGAAAGTATAGCCAAAAAAAGCTTTATAACAATTCTTATTTATAAAGAACCATTACCAAGCTTTTCCCCGCCCTTCAATACATAAAATAAATTGTTTATGTTTAAAAATTTTCCCTCTATCTTAATGTAATTTTAGGACTCTTTCTAAAGTCATTCTTATGAATTTCAGTCAATGCAGTCTTTTTAGTGCCAGGCCCTAGGTGTACATCACATCCTCATAAAGTTAAGAGTGGTGTGAAGAGAGAGGAGATTAACTCACAGTTCATACACATAAGTTCTTATTTTCACATAGTGGCAGCAGACTGGCTAACTCATGAGATTTGGAGATTCTGTTGGCTGCCCCTACCACTTGTCTGTTTTACGTGTGAAAACTAGCCTCTTTCCAGAGGCTGTGTCTCAGAGAAAGCTCTAATAAAGACTTTAACATCCTTACCAAATTTTGGCGTTCATGTACACTGGGGATCATTCTTCATTTGGCTTCGGAGGAGCCCATACTTATCATGGCCGTAGGGTAGCAATGGTGGGCAAAGGGTGATGGGAGGAAGGGGTTTTCTAAAATCCCATCCTTCCCCAGCAGCTCATCCCAATATGGGGGCAGGCTTGGAAAGTTATCTTGTTTTAGTCTTCTGCAATGCACCTGGCAAAGATGAGACCTCAAGCCATCTGCCTATCAGACTGCTGCCCTAAGATCTTCTGCATGGAATTCAGAAGCAAGCACATAGATATTAGCTTCGTCATTAGTCCGGCAGTCCGCTTGGGTAAAAGTGGACCCGCCTCAAGACCAGCATTTGTGTTTGGAGGTATTTAGATGTAAAATTGGAATGTGTTTTTTCTCACTGATTCATATGCAGAATGAGGTATTCTTTATAGCATGTCAAAACTTAGCAGAGTTTGAAAACTTGCTTCCTTTTATTCAATACCAATCAAGTTTTGGAAGCATTTTGACTTTGAATAACCTTCTCTAACTGACAATTTATTATAATATTTTTTGTATATCTCTCACAGCATGCCACATACTGGAATGCCGCAACGGAATGGCTCAGGGTGTCATAAGTACCATCGGGCAGGCTTTTGAACTCCGATTCAAACAGTACTTGAAAAATCCTTCTCTGAATATTTCTTGTGAAAGGTCAGTCAAAAGTTCTGTAATTATTTGACTTGCCCTCCATATACATTTGAAAGTTAATATGATGTTTTAAAACAGACTGATGTAATTGGGATTTTTTTTTTTACATATAGATGCAGTTTCAGTTCAAAATAATAGTGACACTTATTTTTCTTCCATTTTTTATTTGTGTGTGTGTGTGGTACTGGGGATTGAAGGCAGAGCCTTCAAACTGAGCTACATCTCCAGTTCTTTTTTATTTTGGTGAAGTTGCCCAGGCTGGGGTTGAACTTGGAGTTGTCTTGCCTGGGCCTTCTGTTCAGATCTGCCCAGATACTTCCTGTTGCCTTGTAGCTGAGTTAAAGGAGACACTAAGAGCGAGAAGAGATCAGCCCTGTTTCTCTAGTGTTAACACAGAGCTGTGAATTGGAATTATATGAAGCATCTACAGATCTCAGATTTGCTTTTCTGTATTGGTAAAAACAAAAAAGCAAAGCCCAAAACAAAGAGCAGAATCTGAAGAATCGAGTGTCTGTGGTAGAAACCCCTGCCTCGCGCTGGTTCAGGTGAGTGGAGCAGCTCCCACCAACCTGGCAGGTGGAGGGCACGGCCTGACCCGGGCACCTGGCTAAGCACAGGAAGTGTGTGGTGAAAGCTGCCCCTCTCCAAGCGACTCAGCCCCCACCACTGTGCAGTCCACAGCTGCGGGGGCCACCGCTCAGCATCGTCTGAGAAATGAAGCCCCGGGCACTTCCAAGTACACTGTCTAGCTGGGCCTCGTGGTGCATACCTGTAATCTCAGCTCTTGGGAGGCTGAGGCAGGAGGATCGCTGTGAGTTGGAGGCAAGCCTGGGCTACATAGTGAGTTCAAGGCCAGCCTGAACTGCATAGGGAGACCCTGTCTAAAAAAACCAAAACAACAAAAAATAAAATAAAATAAAATGCATTTCCCCATTAGTCATTTTGTGTGGTTCAGAGACCTGTCTTTAGGAGGTGGTCGAGGCAGCGGGGGAGGGAGTTACTGGAAGGTTTGGTGCTGAGTTTCCCCCAGGACACTTGGGTCTTGGTGCTGCCTTTCTGTTCACTTGTCCTGAACCCAACCGAACATGTGAACTGTCCATAGAATCAGCTGGTTCCAAAATGCTTTGATTGATCGATTTTGTAAGAAACTTGTACTAACCTCAGTTTGGAAGAAAAGTCCATTTGTTTTCTTTTTTCAACCTTGTTTCAGTTTCAAAGCCAATTCACTGCTTACATAAATCTCCCACTTGCTACACTGGCCCCTCATATTCCAGTGTGAATGCCCTACACTCAGCTAGCATTGGGCAGACCAGATTGCTGCTCAGAGCTCTTATCCACTGGACCAGGACCTCTACCCAAACAACAGTCTGTACATTTTCGTTGAGTAAAACATATCCTAAGTGCAAGAGTTGCAAGTGTGCCGGAGGTTCCCAGGAAGTCTTTGCTTTTTAATGACCCTGTGACAGAAATGACTTACATTGAGGGAATTCATTATTATTGATATTGTCATTGTTATTACTGTTCATCACTGGGGCAACGCAGAATGCGCTTGTGGGACGATTCCACTTTTCTACAGAAACCTGAGCCACAGCGCAGGCTGCGTGGGCCCAGGTGTTTGACACTGCGTAGGATGTGGAGATTTTCAGGGTGATTTGCATCTGAACTCTGGCCCCATCTCCTGCTGACGCTTTTTCCCTGCAGTGACGAGGTGCAGATTGACAGCCCTGCCCTGGAGGAGGGAGAAGATCCTGAATATTACAATGAGATCCCAGGCAAGCAGCCACCGGCAGGCGGCGTGTCGGATGTTCGGATCCGAGTGCAGAGCCCGCAGCAGACGCCAGCGTACTGCCCCATCCGCTGTGAAAAGCTGTGCTACTTGGTAAGAAAGGTCTGGGTGCTTCCAGAGGCGGCCGTGGGGTTCTGCCCAGGGTATCCATCGCTAGCTTAGAGAACGCCGACCGTCCTCCCCTGTGTGGCCAGAGGGGAGTCTGTCTGGATCACTTTGACTCCCAGGCTCACAGGTCTCCTCTGTGGGCCAGCTGGGTGACCCCACGTCGTTGGCAGCTCCCCACTTCCCAGCCGCATCCTCCGTGCTGTCCCTCAGCAGCTGTCTGCACAGCTGGGCCACGAGCCCCTCCCGCCGCTTGGGAGGAGGGAGTATCGCCTCTGCCCGCCGATACTCATTGTGCCCATCTGCTCTTTCCCTCTCCTACGGGGAGCGCGGGCCCCTCCGCCTGGCCGGCCACGCCTGCCTCCTTCTCACCTTCCTTTCACGCAGACTCTCCAGGGCCCACAGCTGTGCTTTCATCGCTTCACCGCCCTGTGCTTTTGAGACCCGACTCCTCTTAACAGCTTGATAGAAATGACTTTCCCTGTGGTCAGCAGTTGTTTGCTAACTCTGTCTCCCTGCTTGCTGTTTCCTGCGTCTGTCTACAAGGGTCCCCATCTGTTGGCTGCCTTCTTTTGAGATCTCTTCTGTCAGAGTCTTCCCGTGTCTTCAGTTACTGCTCTTCTTTTCCCTCCCTCCCTTCCTCTTTTCCTTCTTTTATTCTTCCTTGTCTCTTTCTTTTGATTCCTTCCTCCAACATTGTGTGAACATTTTTCAGATAGAAAAAGTGAATTATGCAGTGAGCCCTCACACGCTTGCCCTCTGCATTCTACAAGAACACGTTGCTGTGCACCTGTCACATATGGTGACGTTTGTCATCTGTAATCCATCTTACTTTTATTTTTCATGAAGTTTATTGGTGCATTTTAGGTCTACAGCACAGTTACATGCATCATCGGGATCTGTACCTTTACATGATGCATCTTGGTTCTTCTTTTTTTCCCCATTTCCCAGCCCTCCTTTCACCCCCTCCACTCTTCCCTATTTACAAAAACTTTGTTTCCATTTTTCCCTTTTCTCACGTTTTTTCTTTTGCCTTCTTTCCTGTCCCCTTCCTTACTCCTTTAGCACCTTTCTTCCTATTTCATATTATCAATTGTGCAATTGGGCCTTATTTACACTTTTAGTTTTTCACACCAGAGAAACTATTTGTTATTTACACATGTGTGTCCTATTTATTTCACTCACTGCGTATCCATTTAGCTATAAATGACTGTAGTTTCTCATTCTTTTTCTCAATGAGTTTATTGGTACTTTTTAGGTCTACAGTACAGTTACATTCACCACTGGGATCTTGCACCTTTACATGACTTACCTTGGTTCTTATTTTTCCCCATTCCCCTGCCCTCCCTTCACCCCTTCCACCCCTCCCTATTTACAAAAACTTTGTTTTCATTATTTCATTTTCTTGTATTTTTCTTAGTTTCTCATTCTTTATGGCTGAGTAGTACTCCATTTTATATTTTTTAAAAAACGCACATCTCTTTATCCATTCTCCAGTTGATGGGCCGTTGGGTCGTTTCCAAGTTTTAGCTGTTCAAACCGTGCTGCTATAAATACAAGTGGGCGCATATCGCTGTGGTATGATTCTTTTAATTTTTTGGAAAGATACTGGTCCGTCTCACTTTGGACACGTACTTTTCAAAGTGAGTTGTGCGTCTTCTCCTGGTGTCATCAGTTACTCCTCCATCCCCTCCCTGAGAAGCCACAGCCCATCCCGGCGCCCTGGAAGCCCCTGCAGGGTCTGCCCAGCCCGGTACACGCGTCCTTGCCTTCTCCACCTTACCTGCCTCTCCCGTTGACCGGCTACACTGCAGCCCACTGATGATTTATGTCGGGGTTGAGCTTGGCGTGTTCTCTTCGACTCCGTGCTCTGTTCCTCTCCTGATTTATTCCTGTCTAGGAGTGGCATGGCCACGCTTTTGCTAATCCATCACCTTTCTCACATTTGAGGGCTCTGTATTAACTTAGTCTTCAAGACCTATGATCCTACCATGAAAATATCTTGGGAGGGCTGGGGATTTAGCTCAGTGGGTCTGGTGCCTTCCTCACAAGCGCAAGGACCCAAGTTCGATCCCCAGTACCAAAAAGAAAGAAAGACAAAAAGAAAAAGAAAATATCTTGGGAATTTACTGAAATGCTGAATTCATTTTGGCGGCACTTTCCCAAGTTCTAGTCCCCACTTGGCCTGAAGATGCTGCAAGCCCCTTCCTGTGTCAGTCTCGGCCCTGCAGCCCTGCCAGGCAGCCCCATCCCAGAAAGCTTCCTGCGCCCTGCCCTGCTCCGGGGTGCCTGAGCCGGGGGAGCAGCTCCGTGCTGGGACTGAAGCCTCTGATGGGTGAGATCCAAGAACGGGAATTGAGCCTGGCACAGATCTCGGAGCCTCGGTGGAGTGAGGCTCCCAAGTGTGTCAGCTCAGTGTGGGGTGGCGGCTGGCTCCTGGGAGTGTGTATGGAAACGGCTGGACCTGAGCGGGGCCTCCTCAGTGCGGGGAGGAAGCTGAGGGTGTAGGCAGCGGCTTCCTTGAGCCCCCAGTCCAGCCGCCTCTGCAGCCCTAAGCAGGACTGAAAGGCAGGTGCCCTCCCACCTGCACTGCAGTGTCTGAGCTGTGGGATGGTTCTGTGCCGTAGTGAAGAGGTCTTCTTTGTTTGCCTGGGAATTCACGAGTGTCTTTTTAACATCCCTGGAAATGCCTGTAACTGCCTCACAGTTTGTTTTCCTTGCAGCCTGGGAACTCCAAGTGCAGCAGTGTATATGAGAACTGCCCGGAACAAAGCAGGACCGCAGGTAGGCACGTGCAGTCGCTATCTGTCACCCTTCCCTGCCTTTTGGGTGATGTGAATGTGTGTGGCCCTGGCTCTCGACACCCCGAAAAGCCAGGTGTATATGGGACAAAAGCTGGCATCTTTTGGCTGCAGGCTTCCCTGGGGGCTTGGGGCGCAAGCGTGTGAGGCCCACAGCTCTTCCTCACTCTGGTGTCACCCGCCTTGTTCGCGGCGGTCCTTCACCGTGGTGACAGCATGGCAGCGCCATCCCTGGGAGGCTGCTCTGTCTGCTCCCCTTGCAGGAAGAGTGGACAGTAAGCAAATAGGAAAACGGATGCCTGTCAGATCTGCCGTGGTTAAAACCTTATTCCATGTCAGCAAAGGGGACAAAAGAACACCTGCAGGCCAGTGGGCAGTCAGGGGCCGTGCGTGCACTCCATGAGCCAGAGCCAGCTCCTAGACGGGCAGGACACAATGTGCAGCCCAAAGGGAAGCCCGCTCTAGCTCCCTTAGCGCTCGGCCCTCCTCTCCGGGCTGTCTTCCTGTCCTCTGCCGCCCGCTCTAAAGGGAACTCAGTGCCTGCTGAGTCACAAGCCTGCCACCGGATAGGGCCATGGTTTCCTCTGTTCCTCAGAGTTCTCATCTTGATTTAGTTTTTTACATTGTTAAAGCATTCTTCCTCTGAAAGGATGAATTTATGAAGCAGGGAATGGATATGCAGGCATCGTTTCCATCTTATTCGGGATTTTTCTTGTAGAATCCTCCTTGCTTCAGGTTTTCTTGGCTATGTTTCTTCTTTAAACCAACAACCTGCCTCTTACCCTTTATGCGCTGTAAATCTGCCCTCAGCCACCCAAGGCAGGTCCAACCATGAGCAGACTTCACAGTTACAGTTCAATCTGTAGAATTTACTTCCTCCATAAGCCAGCAAGCGCACTCGATTGTACCCTTCCAGTCTGCTTACACTGGAGCATAGATGTGTATTTTGTTACGAAAAATACCATAAATACTCTGTTGCACACTGCCTTCCTCCATGGTGGCTCTGTGGTCATGACCCTCCCTGGGAACTGTGCCGGACCTCGAGCAGGTGACAGATGGTGTCTGCCGTTGAGAATGAGTCCCCAGCTGGCTGTCCCATGGCACTGCAGGGCCTACGTGCCAATCGGGTCCCAGCCGAGACTGTCACAGATGTCCCTCTGTTGAGTCAAGAGGGGTCCCCGCTGCAGTGTCCCTTCATCTCCAAACACCCCTACATTGGGGCTCCTGCCTGAAGTGACCTGAGATTCCTGACTGGGAGTGAATCAGCCAGTTGCCAGAAAAATAAATGCATAGATTTTATGGCTTCTGCCAGAGGGTCATACGCAAGCATTCAGGAGCCACCATGCAAATATTTTCAGTGAGGTTGGCTTATTTATTGAAATATTGACTGAACACTTGGATTCTGGACGTATTGTACCTATTGCAGTAGGCTTCTACTTGTTGGAGGAGTTAGGTGTATTTAATAGATAAAGGCGTGACAAGGACAAATTGAATTATATTCCCCTGATAGTCATGATAAATGGAAATGTTGATATTTGAAGTCAAAGCAGTGCTACATTCCTGCAAATCCCAGGGCTTGCAAACGCTCTGCAACCCACAGGACACAGCACTGGAAGGGCTCTGAGATGTGCATTGGCTGGCGTGGGCCGGACTTTCAGCACCCACACACTGCAGCTTAGAAGGATTTTCAGTGTGGATAAGGGGTGGGGAGCCTGGCTCAAAAGCTGAGGACACCAGCACCGGCTCACGTGTGAGCGCATGTCTGTAACAGAAAGAACCCGCGGCAGCTGTAGAGCGACTGGGTGTAGACGCCGCTGCTTTGGTGCAGCCCTGGGGATCAGGAGAGGCTTGGTGAGGTGCAGAGGGTCAGCACCCAGTGCTGAAGGCTGGGTGGATGGAGTCTGCAGAGAGAGAGCAGTCTGTTCACTCCGCTGACAGATGTCTTCCTGGCGGCCACTTACCCTCACTAGGCTCTGCAAACAGAAGACCCAGTTGGGCTGCGCTTCCTCCCGGGGCCTCCAGAAGGGCAGCAGACATGTGCAGCCCACAGTGGCCTTTCCCACAGGGCTTCAGGTAGGAGTGAGTCCAGAGCAGCACAGTGAAGGAAGACCCAGGTGGTAAGAGAGAGAGGAGAGGAGGCCGGGTTCAGGGAAGCACTCTCAGCAAGGTGCCTGGGTGGGCTGGCCCTGGGGCTCGTTTGTTGACTGTCCTGCGTCTCCCCAACAGCCTGTCTTATGGGGCAGTGTGAGCACTGTCCTACAGAGAGAGCATAGGTCACTAGGACAATGAGGGAGGGCACAGGAATTTGAACTCAGGTCTGTAGGGTATGGAAGCAGACCTCTTCTAGACAGATACATGGCTTTATTAGTTGTGTTCTGTTGGTGCACGCTTACAGTGCCTGATCACATTCATTGTGGGGAGCAGGTACATCACAAAACACATCGCGCTGCTTTTCCTACTCCCTTCCCTCTTCTCTTCCCCTCTCTCCATCTCAACATCCTCTTCCCACTTGCTAAAAGTTTATCTCTTTATTTTCTAATGTCTATCTTTTCTTTTGCTCTTTAAATTACTGATATTTTGGGCTTCTCATATAAAAGAAGTGATGTGATATTTAAGCTTGTGCATCTGACCCATTTCACTTAATATTATGGTCTCAAAGTGCATCCATTTCCTACAAGTGACTCCAGTTTACCTTCTTCACGGCAGCGTAGTGCTCCACTGTATTAAAGGCCACGTTTTCTTTATCCACTCTTCTGCTGATGGACACATAGGCCACTTCCAAGACTTAGCTACTGACCGCTGTGTGGAAATGGACCTCTTCGCCCCCTGCGAGCATCTTTGGTCATATTCCTCTTTCAGTAAATGGTTGATTGCTGGTACTCTAAATAAATGATTATTCCATCATACATATAAGTATGGACAGTTTAGAGTTGGAGTTGAGATAAACATTTAAAAGTCTTACTAACCAGAACAGCTGGTGCTATTATGAGATAACAGCTCAGGTCCCTGGATATTTACTGATGAAGATAAACATAAATCTACTTCTCAGTCTTGGAAATCATGCCTTTAGAGGCCAGAGCCTGCATCTGCTGAGCTCGTGCCTGTTCGTAACTCCATCGTGTTCCTGGAGCGGGCTGTGTGGGCCTGACCCGGCCTGGCTCTCTGGGCCACCGACTTTCTTTGCTGGAAACCAAGTTCAGAGCGGCCCAGGGAAGTGGGAAAATGAGTGTTTACAACATGGCCGCCCCGCCTGGGTGTGGCTGTTCATACCCGGGTGGAGGAGTGGGCTGCGAGAAAGTCTCTCTTTTTAAAAAATAAAACAAATGTAGGGTCTAGAGATGCATTTGAACCTCTCCATTACAATGATGCAGCAGAGGAGGCGCTAGTGCGAGAGCAAAAGGCCTCTCTTCAGTCCTTGGCTTCTGGGCGGTGATCTTCCAGCCACATTACATTTGTGACGGCGACAGGCCAAAGTGGGTGACGAATCTCACAGGTGCATGTAATGCAGCAAAGTGGAAACTGTCATATGTTGCAAAATACACAGATAACCCACTCCCCTCTCTGATATCCTGCATGTGGAGGGGACAGGAAAGAGTCTTCTGCTGGGCTTCCCTACCCGGGGTCCTCTCGGGCTTCCACACTGATGCCGAGGAACCTAAGCACTGTTCCCTCGCCAGAGGAGGGCCCGGAGCTGCTCACAGCGGGGCATGGGGCGGCCCCTCCCGCTGGTCCTGTAGCTCAGACCCTAGGTGCACTGGCTCACCCCTGAAGCCAACACACCATCCACACCGTGTGTGCCAGGCGCAGGGCAGTGGGGGCGAAGCGGGCCTCGTGGGGCAGCCCAGATGTAGGGCAAACCTGGGATATTTTGTGGCCGAAGTGAGAGCCCGGTGACTCCTGCAGTGGTGTCCAAGGCTCAGCGCATACTGTCTGGGCAGCAGAGGCCTCACCCGGTCTGGCTCTCTGGGCTACTGACTTCCCCGGCTGCCAGAAGCCAAGTTCAGAGAGGCCCAGGGAAGTTGGAAAAACAGTGTGTAAGATGCCATCCCGAGGCCAGGCGTGTCGGCCAGTGGAGGCTTGGTGCAGGGGCTGGGAGAGATGGAGGAGGGTGCAGGGTGGACGCTGGTAGGGCCTGTAAGTCTCTGGGAAATCTGATCAGATTTAGTTTAAACAGCCCTCCTCCCACCGCCCCCCCACCCACTCAGTGAGGAAGGAGAGAGGAGGCGGGGGAGCAGATAGCTCAGGGGAGCGTCCTGTCCTCTGGATCACAGAATGAAATGCCAGACGTCAGAGCAAGGCTGAGCTTGGCAAGAGACCGTGTCCGGAACAGACTTCCGACTCTAGGAACTTGACTCTCTTTATTCATTTATGTTTAATGACTAACGCACAGGGAGACTTTGAATTAAAAGTGATGAGTTCTCCAAAAGGGGTGGAAAAGTCAGTGCTCAAGTTCAGGGTGACAGATGCCTTTGCCTGGCTCCTGGCCCTGTTCAGGGCTGGCCCCACCTCCTGTCTGCCCGCTGTCTGTCCCCAAGCGGGGAGGGTGTGGCTCCCGGCTCCCTGGCATTCTCTCCTAACCGAGGAGCTGCCCACAAGCAGGAAGGTAACATAACGCGCTGCTCCCTGCTGGTCACTGCAGGTGACGCCCGCGAGCCGGGGGTCCTGGCCCAGCGAGATGGCACCGCGCTGAGACTCCCGTGTGGGGCGGATCTCTTTGATGACCCCTGCTACATTAACACGCGGGTACTTCAGCGTGCACCAGGCTCAGCCCGGCCCCGGGAGAGCCCGCGGCACTGTGGAAGTAAGTACTCGATGCGGCGGGGGCACCGAAGAGAATCGCTTCCAGCTTCCGGTAGCTGCTGGCAGTTCCTGGTGCAGAGGCCCTGGGCCTGGTCTCTGCCTGGTCGTCGCCTCCTGTCCTCCCGGGTCTCTGTGTCTCTGATCTCCTCGCTCCCTCTGGTAGGACACCGGTTACGAGATGGCGGTGAGGTTAGCTCCTGTCACCTCAAGATCTTTCATTTCATGACATCTGCAAAGGCCCCTTTGCCAAATTAGGCCACATTCCTATGTCCCAGGGATTAGGACTTGAGCATACCTCTTCTGGGGGCCGCTGTTTAACTTACTAGACTCTCGCTCAGTCTAAAGATTATTTCCTTGGCCTCGTTTTTAGGGAGTTAAGAGGATTCTTTCTTTTTCTCAGTTCCACACTATAGTAATAACAGAGCACAACTTCATGGAGGTTCTTTGGGTTTCTGGATTTTATCACTTTGATTTTGAATGCTTCTTTCAAATACTTGGAATTTATTCTCATTTTTGCTTCCAGTTTTGTGTTTTGCTGAAGGATGAGTTGTCAAAGTCAGAAGATAATTTTGAATGTGTTTGTCTGTGTGAGGAACAATGGCCACTTTTTAGGTTCTGTTTAGTGACAGTGTGGGAATGGAGCATAATGGAGCAGCTCTGTGCATAACTCTGAGGCGCAGCTGAGCTCTCTCTGAAGACTGGAGAATCTGATGGTCAGTTGAAGAGGTGGAGATAAGCCTTCTATTACACTAGCATGGCCTGGTGGGCCCAGAGAAGTCTGAGTGTTCTATCAGAAATGAGGGCCTCCTTCTATAGGGATCTACAGGGTAGGCGAGCATGCTCAATGAAGCGGGGGGCGGAGTTGCAGAACATTCTTGAGAGAACCTTGTGAGGGGGCACAGTTTAACAGAACATTCCTGAACGGTCACACAGTTCAGTCACAAACCATTTTGATATATTGGGCAGGAGACCAGAAACATTCTGTGGAAAAAAAAAAAAAAAAAAAG